CCTGTTGGCAAAAATTAATTAGTTTTACTAGAAATTTTGCATTAAATGGCCAGATGCCAGCGTGGTCAGAGACTGTAATTGTATTGTAACGATTGTTGATCTTTTGCCTAAAAAAATGTGAAATTGTTTAAGGAAATCCGAGGGAAAATTGAGAAGCAGAGAGAACAGGAAGCGATTGATCAGCAGCAGCAGAAGGGTTTGACCTCTAACATTTTGACAATAAAGACCACTATGACGGAGGCACAGCAGCATGTAGCTCAGAATGTTATCCAAGCTGCTGCCCTGAGTGGAAATGCGAAAAGCGAGCCACACCGCTTCACCGAGGGAGCAAGAGCGCGTTAGTAGCTGCTTTTTGTTTCAATTTTTTTCAACTAAATATAACATTTAAACTGTTATTGGGAATTTTAACTTTACCGTAGTCAAGTTTTGCATAGCCACGGTACTGCATCATTGAAAATCTACGTTTTAATTAAAATCCTGTTAAAGCGAAATTTCCTACCCACGGGATATATAATATGATTGCTAACACCTGAGTAAAATATTGTGAGTACTGTGTGCATTAAACCTCATGAATTGAGAATGTTAAATGTAATAAAATCTTAGTTTTTAGCTTATCAGACGTAGTCAGATGCAGCTTGTAGAATCGCATGAGTGTGCGTCCGTGCGTGCGTCAAATGTTGGGCACAAATCTTAACTGCTCGACGTACGGCCACGATATTCGGGACGTCGGGGGGGGGTATCGTCAAAACAAGTTGGGATGTCGAAGCTGGGGGTCAAAAGGTCAAAGGTCAAGAGGTGTAAAAGAAGACTCCTTAACTTAAGGTATAGGGAGGAAATGCAGAATTGCGGCACAAATCTAAACGGCTCGACCTATGCTCTTCATATTTGGTGTATAGTGTAATGGGCAGGAAACCCATGATCAGTGCCAAATTGGAGGTCACAGGTCAAAGGGCAGTGGGGGAAAGGTCAGTCATCAGACATTTTCTGAGGACGTGGCCTAACGGACAGAGTGAAAAACTTTTATACGCTGCTCACCTACCATTTTTATCACTCTATTGAAAGGACCATGAAATGTGCTTTCCACTGACGTGTGAAGAGTAAGTGTCTGATAACATTTTGACCCTCAAGAGGATTCCTGAACTGCCTCAATGATGTCACAGTGTTCTCATATTCATGGCACATCCATAATCTAGAAAGCCCATAAGCCTTGATAGCC